AATTGATCATCTTCTCCTGAAAGGAAGTCAGGGTGAATGGAGGACCCCCTACCTCGACAAAAACAAAATTGGAATTGATGACAACTGGATTCTGCTGTTTGGGTTGGTGAAATCTGGATTGTCTACAAATTAGTGTGGAATATATTGAAGCTTGGCAGCACTCCGACTATGTGAACTACTGTATGTGGAGCTGCACCAAAGCTGAAGCAGGCTGATATCAGGACGGTGAACTTTCTGGCAGCACCCATGAACGGTTGGAAGGAATAATCCTGGAGAAGCTATAAGCTCGACTTTCGGCGTAAATAATCAATTCGGCTGTTTGGAGTCCACATCAGAGAAATGTACTAGTGCAACTGTAAAAGGCAGAACTGCAAAATACGAGTTCTGCCTGACCCAAACTGTGGATCTGGCCTTGGAAGCAGAGTAGCTCAATTCCTCCTGGGATGTAATGAAAACAAAGATGCCCTGTCTATCTCCTTACTCCTCCCTTCCCCAAGGCCGTGGACATGTGACAGAACCTCAACCGAGCTGGATGATAACAAACACCCTTTATCTGGACTATGGCTGAGGGGGGCTCTGGACTATGCTACTACCTTCCCTTAAAACGCAATGCCTTCACCGGCCTTATATGTATTATGTCTATTTATGTTGCTTTGCTGTGGTTTTTTTTTTTTTAATGCCTCAAACTGTGCCCTGTCTAGGAAATGGTGTGAGTTTTTTTTATTATATATATATATATATATATATATATATATATACCTTCTCTCCTTCATGTTTTCTTCCCCCTTTCTCATCTAAGCAAAAGTATTCTGAAAAGAATAAGAGGCCGCGCTCTCGTAGCAGCAGCTACATTGTACTCCGCCCATCTTTGGACAACTGTACGAACATAATTTTGTTGTATTTCGGTACAATGACAATAAAGCTTATTCTGCTTCTTCTAAAACAAGTTTGAAAGTAGCTATTTAGTTAGATTCTTGGTAGTGGACAAAACAAACAAAAACGAATTCATCCAGTATATCGGTTATTGGAATTAGCCTCTCCCTCACAATATCTGTATCGGCGACAGGCAAAGTTTTCATATAGGTCGAGCTCTACTATGAACTAAAGAAATAAAAATAAAGGCACATCAACTCTTGACTAAATCAGACACTAAACTATTTTGGAACATTTGGTAATAAAACCAGAATGGTTTGGCAATCATGACATCGTAAAGCAAACAAGGCATGAGATCACAAAAACATGGCAGAATAAGTTAGTATTCTAGCCACTGAAATCATCAAAGAAAGAAACTCTTGTAAGATGTTGTACATCTTAAAAAGAATTTTGGAAAGATCTAGAGACATCAGCTGCACATGATTTAAAGATGAACCAGGAAAGCCGCTCCTAGACAAATTCTAAAACCAGATTGAGCTTCTTCTCCTCCATCACTGTCAGAATGTACAATATATCACAGCTAATTACCGGTACACGGAAAAGTTGCATTTCAGTGCAAGAGTTATACTTTTCCCACAAGCAAGAAAATCATTTTTCATAATAAATAAATGTCTAGGTATATATATATTTTGCCTTGCTCATTTGTTTTACCTACTTAAAGAACTTATGTAAAATGTGAACACTCTTTCAAGTCTTTCATGGTATTATGATAATTGAGAAATCTGAGTTCATCCTAGCTCATTAGCTGGAATGAATTTGCACTAAATTTTAACATTAAACCATCAGTCTAACAAACTCACATTCTCATTACCAGCGTCAGTTAAAGCTTTAACACCTTTTCCCTCTTATGGTCGAATGCATACAGTAAACTCACCTACCCTCTTCCCTTTTTTTTCCTTCTAACTCCTGCCCTATAATTTCTGCTGCATGATTTATCACTGTTACTGGGCTGATTAGTCCCATTTTCTTTTAATACATGAAACAAAGGTCACAGCTCTCCTTGATATAAGCCAATGAGGTGCAAAGAACTGAGAGTGCTTAAGAGATCAGCAGGTTCCTCATTAATGCTGGGTGCTTTTAAAACGATCATTTTGAGGCCAAGCATATATGTGCGAATGCATCTGTGTGTGTGTGAGAAATAAACAGAGGCGAGACAGAACGAGTGGGAACAGGATAGATCAATGCGATCATACCTTGTAGCATTTTCTTTTTTCATTCTCCTTAATGCATCCTTGACATTATTAATTAGCACAAATGTGAAGAGATGACTCATTGGTATAAATGGCCAGATTCACATTAAGCTCCGTCTTGTAATAACTGCTATGGCAACAAGCAAATGGAAAAAAAAATAAATAAAATATGGTACACCAATGTCCCCCAGCGCTGGGGGATTTGAATAGTGAATGTTTGTGGTTTTCAAGATGAGCGTTTTTCTGGACTGGCAAAAGAAAAGGCTTGTATACAAAGTTTGTGTGTGTGTGTGTGTGCAATATTTAAGGGCAACGAAAAGTAGGTGGTGGAGTGGTTAGAGAAGGTGGGTCTGTGATCGGAAGGTCACTGGTTCAAATCCCCAAACAAACATCAAAATGTGGTGGGAAATGTGAAATTCCCACACCTGTCTCCACCCTCATTTGCTTCAACTCTGGGCCCTTGAGCAAGGCCCATAACGCACACCATCTGCTCCCCCAGGCGCCCAAGTTGGCAGCTCTCTGCTCCACGCAGAGGGCTGTGGTAGCTTGGTGGTTTATGGTTGTGTCAGGAAGAGCATCCGACATAAAAACAAAATGCCAAGCATTTGTGATATATTTGGGTATAATGGTCGATTCGCATCTCTCTTTTAGGCCCCACGTCGAAAACTCGTTAAAATGACATGACATGCCACGATTCAGTGGTGAGCTTAGGTCTAGATGCAGCCACACACCAAAATGGAAGTTGGTACTTCATTTTTCAAGTTATCATGTTCACAAGGTAGTTAAACTATTATGGGGTCAGCCATCTTGGATTTTGATGTGGCAACTTAACTTTCAAAAGGAACTTTTCCTTGGTGCAGCCACACAGCAAATTGAAAGTTGGTACCTCACTTATTTTTCAAGTTATCATGCTCACACCATGCAAGGACGGATGGACAGTATTTCCAATTCTCCCTCTTTGTTCTGTGGTGGAGTCAAACCAAAGGCAAAAGTCTGGACACCCCTGCTTTGAGTATTTGCTGCTAAAAGTCCAGTAAGTACAAATATAACATATATAGAGACTTTGTTTGTGAAAGCAAAATTACTCTAAAATCACTTAATATTGGAATGACGCATTTTTGGAGTAAAGTAAAAAATGAAAAAAAAAAAAAAAAAGAACAATCATGCAAAGGTTTCTGAACCCCAGGGGATTTTAATGCTGAATAACTTACCAAGGCCTCAGACATTAATTATGTTTTTTTTTTTTTTTCCCTGAGTAAAGGTTGTTCACAGTCCTTCTTAGTCATCATTAGGAAAGGCCTACGGGATAGGAACTTAAAGCTTAAGAAATACTCTGATTCATCAAGTCTTGTCTCAACAATAACCAGTGGACCTCTGGCACTTTAAATGCTAAAGAAATTGATGCCCATTAAATAAGAAAAGTTCATAAAATAAAATAAATTATTTATTAGAAAGATGTTCTTTTAGACTGAAATGTCAATGAGAACATGAAGGAGACAGGATCGCTATAAGAGTAAATCAAAACCTCTGGATGAACTGACTTTAAGGCATATATACATGATGGACGAGCATGAGGGGGCAGTGGCATATGTAAAAACCTAAGAAAGCAATGCATGGAAGATGCTAAAGAAGCTCGTAAAACCAGAAGCTACAATATCTGCGAGACATATCTGCAAAAAAAATAAAAAAATAAATAAAGCAAGAGCTGAGGACTTTTAGCTGGCTGTAAAGAGCTGTAGTAAATTGTTACACAAAGTTAAAGTTGTATCAGTAAATGCTGAGTGCATTAAAATACCAACTTCAGCTTTATTTTACGTTAAAAAAGGGGCCGCATAAGACAAAAAAAAGCAGTTTGTTTAAGAAAAAGGTTGAATCCCATTCTTTGCCCCACACAATATGATCACAAAAATAAAATAAAAAACATGCAGGACACGATTTATGTGTGATAAAAGGCATAAGAATGACATAACTGCTCTCTGTACATTAATAAAAAGCCATGAAGGGTTGGATAAATGTAAATCAAGACAGGAGTGGGCTGAGACGAAACGGATACTCACACAGATTTTGTGCAATCTTGGGATCGAGCACCTTGAGCTCTTTAATTCTCTTCTTTATGGATTTCTTATCCTCCAGATCCTCCTCTTCTTTTTTAGCTGAGGAAGACAGAAATACTCAAGTATTATACAAAGACAAATTTTACACAAATTCATGCACTTACTCTTCTGCTGACACAAGGATGACAAGCTCAGACACAGGAAAACTACTTGGTTGTCATTGTCAAGGTAATAAAAAAGAAAACGGACCAGGGTGAAAAAGTGTCCACAAGTCTTTTAATAAGGAACTTATTGGTAAAAATTATGTTTTTTGGGACATTATCTCCTGAAATAGATCAACAAACATCCCTGATTTATTTTGTAGTTGAGGAAACACTGACGTGATTTTTTTTATTTTGCATTATATAATAAGATGTTTTTTTATTAAGAACTACACACTGTTTATCTCACACAAAGTGTTATTATAAGACAGCTGATGGAATAAATAATCACAGAGAAGTAATCGAAAAGTTGCACCATGACCTTTATAGCATTACAAATGCACATGCTCAAAGTCAGGATTTTGCAACACATTATGGTTTAGACATATTCATACCTACGTCTTGTTTGTTGAAATGCACTTAGTCTAAACAATATTCATATCTACCTCTGTGCTCAGAGGTCTTATGGCACACTGCAGCATTGAATACTGAGGACATTTCATTATGTGAATATATATATATATATATATATATATATATATATATATATATATATAAGGGATGCACAAAATTATCGCATGATATCAGTATCGGTTGATATTAGCGATAAAATTAAATATCAGACGTCGGCCATGCCATCAGAATAACTCACCAATATAAAAGACTTATGTTTTAAGTTAATTTGTAATTTAAGAAACTGTGAAGTATATCTATCAATGCACTACTACTTGTGTGCTTTTCACTTGTAGCTTGTGAACAGGTTAGATTAGATTTGTGAGAATTTACAAATTTGCACTGTTCGAGTGTTGTCATTGTGTTAGAGTAAATGTCTTAAATAAATTTGACATTAAACATAAACCAAGTTTAATTGTTACATCATTTTCAGCCCCCTTTTTGGCATCTGCATTTGGTAGCAGATACCAGCCGAGCTGTGTCCAAACCAGCAGCCCAGAGCGGGGTGCAGGAAAAGAAAAAAGCCAAGCTGCACTGGTGGAGGGGGGAGGGAGAGACAGTTGAGCTGTCACCGTCTGTACCTGCACTTTAGAGCTGGATGGAGAAAAGTGGCCGAGCCGCGCATTGTTTGTTTATAGCATTTTAGCTAGCCAGTATTGTGCGAAGCTAATTAGCGTTACGCTAGTACAGACAGGTGGATGGGGGAGTGCGCAGTTCGGTTCGGTAGTTTGGCGCACTTGGTTCTGTTAATGGGGCGGAGCAAACACTGATGTAATTACGTCATGAAATTAGCATATCATGATATCATTTATTTTCCCAGGCAAGCTTATTTTACCGGTATCGTGAACAATATATGGCCCAGTCCTAAAGTCAGGGGTCCTGAAATGTTTTTTTTAGAAATCTAATAAATTAAAATATGAGTGCTTACAGCATACTTTTGTGCCATACTTGTTATAAAATATAAACAGCTGTCATAGCATGAAACAAATACTTTAGTTGATGTTTAGGTGGTTTAGCTGTCATTCTGGACCGTTTAGGAACATTTCAAATAAGATCTCCTCAGACTTGGGACTTTTTTTTTTTTTAAGTATGTTGAAAACTCACCTTTCTTATGGTAATGAAATTTACCAGTAATCAAAAATTGGCATGCTGTCTTACTGTGTTTAATTTAAGTTTTAAATAGAAACTTTTTTTTTAATATATATTCACTTATTAGGTTGTTTTATTTGACTTGATATTAGTTTTGGGTTTTTTTAACTGATGTGGGTTTTTTTTTTTTTTTTTTTTATTATTTTTGGTGCACTTTTTTTTTTTTTACAGCACTTTGGCTCAACTTGGAGGACTCTGAATGTGCTTCATAAAAATATTGACATTTACATTTTTGGTATATTAGCAAAGTTTGTGAACTTCAACCAGCAAGATTTAGGTTTGGAAGGTTTTGCTGCAGTTATTTTAAGGATCAGAAGTAGGCCTGTCAAGGATAACAAATTTGGCTGGGCGATTGTCTCAGAAATTATTGTGATAAACAATAATATTGTTTGAAATTTGACCATAATTAGTAATTCTCAAATTTAAGAAGAAATGTTGGTTAATTTTTGTGTGCAATACCTTTTTTGACCACTGGATAGCAGACTGTTTGAACCAAAGGATGGATAGTGAGGGAGTGAGCAGCGTGTCTCTTTAAGAAAAATGGGAGGGAGGCCCCTTGACGTGACATGGGCTGTCTCTCATTCATGTTTTTTGTTCTCAAAATGGCAGACGCTCAGTGTGGTTTCAGCTCTTTAGCATAGCATTTGTCAAACAAAGCTTTTGAAAAAAAAAAAAAATCAGTAAACAATTTCCGAGCTTCTTTTTGCAGAGAAAAACAACTTTTTACACAAAGTCACGAGTTTCAACAGTGAATTTTGGAGCTTCGACAAGATGGACGTTTTTTCCCCAAGGTCGGCCTGTTAGCTTAGCTCGTAGCTTAGCTGCTTTTAACCTTCCAAAAACACGATTTTGGATAATTAAAACAGATTTTAATGAAAAAAGAGAAAGGGAGGGGTCAATGAAGAGCACTGGAGTTGAGCCTTTTGTCATCTGGTGTCTTCAGTAGAAAGACGGCGACACAAAGAAACGATAAAGCTGATAAATGAAAATGAGGTTGATCATTTTCATTTATCATGTGATTAATTGATTTATTGTTTATCGTGACAGGCCTAATCAGAAGCTGAAAAATGTGGGACCACTGTCTTATTAGGTCATCATACAACTACATTTTTTTTAGTGGTAAAACATTCCATTCAATTTGTACAAAAATATCTTATTTGTAATTTGATGTGTGGTTAAAGTCTTGACATCACGGTGCCAAAACTCTATGGTATTCTAAATTTGGGATACGCTCATACAATCAGGAGAGAAAATAAAATCTATTGATGGTAAAATGTAGTTTTTGAATTTAAGTGTTTAGTTGAACTAATTCTAGGGTATAAAATGCTGATGATAGTAAACCAGAATAACTACAGCAATCCAAGATCTTATTACTGCCCCAGCAGGCTTCTTCACCCACCTCTTTATTATTTTATTTTTTATATCAGATTTTATCAAGGAAAAATGTGTTGCCAACTGAAACAGTGTAATTATCTAATGTAATATTGCCTATTAGCTTGGTTAAATGTAAATTATGACTTTTTCTCTTTTCTCATTATTTTAAAGAATATTTCATCTATGGCCAGAAAGAGTACAATCAGATACACACACACACACACACACACACACACACACACAGAAAAACATGTCCTATGAAGCTACATTCACAAAGAGGGACTTGTGGTTGCTTTTAATTATTGAAGACACCAGATTAAGAGAACAAAATGTGCAACCCAGGAGTATGCTGGGTAATTGTCAAAAGTGGTAATTATCATGAGGGTGTGTTGAAAAGAGAATAGGATGGCAGAGAATAAAAGGGAGAAGAGTACAGAAGAACACAGGGGTTAATCCACAGGAAAGGTATGCCTGCTGCTCCTCATGGGCTTGCTCTCTTTGCTAAGATCCTGTATCCAATTAAAAAGTGAAGAGGTATACGTGAAACTCCCACATGAACAGGACTAGTAGCATGTTCACAAGCTCGCACACCTACAGCACATCCTACCATGCACAGAACAACAAACACGGCCACACACTGAGCTAGCCTTTGACTTACGTGGCTCCTCTGCTGTTACACTCTCCTCACAGTCTTTCAGTGTGTGTGAGAGAGATGGGGAGGAAAATTGACAAGGAAAAATGAGAACAATGTCAAACAATAAGAAGAGGGTGAGGAAATAAGTGAATAGAACGCTGTCCATGGCAACATACAACAAAAAACACCACAACGTAATAACTAATACTTGATTTGAAATGCTTGAAGTACAAAGAATGTATGTTAAAAAATACAAAATGAATATTTAATTTGCACATATTCTGTTTCTTTTTACTTGAGACATGAAAGATAGCAGATACTTTGTATAGTATGTCTTTTTCTCTGATTTTAACCACGTTCCAGCTTCTCATGTTAGCATGTTCAACAAGGAGTGATGTAAGATTATCTTGATGAATATATTTAGTGCAGCGCAGTGTTTGATGAGGAGAACATGAAAGTGTTTTTTTTTTTTTAGATCTACAACATAAGTCAAATGAAAATGAAAAACTAAAATATAGACACTTAAGTGTCCTAGTTCATATTTTGTGCTAGTAAGTATGAAATGCAAAGCCAGCATTAGGAAGCCCTGTGATTGTTTTATTAGGATGTTGTATTAGTGCAATTATAATCTAAAGGCTAAAAGACTGTCATTTAAAGCAAGACAGACCAAGTCTCTGAACCAGACGAGTCCAGTAGTATGAAACTAATATCCATTTTGTTTAAGTTCATATAAATATACTTACCTGGGTCAACCTTATAATACTGCAAGCCTTACATCCATCCTTGTTTAAGAAGTGATAAGATGGAGATCACAGTAAACACACAGACTTTCGCATACACATGCACACTTCACATCACCTCCAGTGTTATCAGTTAAATTGGCTAATTAGATGGCCTCCATTCTAGCGTCACCCCTCAATCTCCTTACTTCTAAAGCTGCAGATGGTTGGGAAAGCCTGCTCATTATACTTTAACTAAATAAAATGTTCTGCAGAAGGTCAGAGGTCTCTGGGTAATCAGTCAGCAGGACTGGCAACGTTTGCACTTATCAGAATGTGCAATCACCCGGGAAGTGGGGCCGATAACGCTACAGAGCAGAGTGGGGTCTGCGAGGCATGATGAGACTATACGGTGTGAACTGTGAATGTTGGGAGACTAGAAGGTGAAAAAAAATACCTACAAATTCCAGAGAAATTGTGAACAAAAATAGTGAAGTTTCAGCTGAAGTCTCACTGAGCTGTTTTGCAACAGTTTGTGACTTAACACTCTCACATACTAGGGCATACTGTGTGTACTACGTGAGCCACGCGGACACTACGTGCAGTGTCTGCAGACGGTTGAGACTTCATACTCGAGCATACACCTTGATGGGCTGCAGCCCAGCTCCGCAGGCAAGGGGCGTTTACCTTCGGGACAAATTGAGGTTGCCGATAGGTCATTTGCCGACACGCCTACTGGATTGAGTGACAGGTCATACACACAAAAAACGAGAGCTACCGACAGCCCTGGGTAGAGGCAGCTGGCAGCCCAGGAGCAGCGGCAGTGGTGTTCTGTGTTTAAAGTATAGCTTGTTAATAAAAAGTTCTAAAAAAAAAAACAGAGTTCTGGCCCTACAGCCCACACATCAGACAGGCCCTCAGGGAAATCTCCAGACCCTCCTTCAGCCACGCCGGGCCTGGTTTTAATTCTCTCGTGACAAATTCCTTCATTTCTCACAATTTAAGTCATGGCGTCAACAGACGAGGAGGAAGAGCTCTCTCGCCTCTTGGCAAAAAAACAAAAGAAAAGTTTATTGTGCGACACAGAGTATGCGGTCGTAAAAATTGATCTTTGTGCGGACATGACTTGCGGACGTCCACTTAGAGTCCGCGTTGAGTTTAATCGGGTAAGCGCGGACCTCTGCGGAGTGAAGTACGCCCAAGAATGTGGTGGCATTAAGCGACCAATGAGCTGAGACCTTATTTTGAGCAGCCACTTTTAGAAGATTACAGCTTACAGTTGTGTATAAAACTGCATTGTTGGCTGTGCACATTATTTTGTTGCTCATCCCTGCCACATATTGGGTGACTTAAATGAACAAAGGCAGATTTGGACCAGTTTTTCAATATTTATCATTTATTATCTGTGTGGTTTTAAGATTTGGGCTTTTGCCTGAGATATGTTTTGTCAGAGGAAAGCTCCTGTGCAGGAGCCAAAATGCAG